TGGTGGGTGGGTGGGCAGTGGGGCGTTTCAAAAAATTTTGGAACCCCTTCTGTAGGTGTGGCCTGCTTTCCGGGTCCACTGGTGGAACCTCTTCTAACCCATTCGGTAGATTTGACGAACCGGTTCTACCGAATAGGTGCGAACTGGTAGGAACCCACCTCTGCTACCATCCCTGTCCTACTGTCCCCGTTTATTTGTACTCCTTTCTTATGCTCATGTCCATGTTTATACTTACCTGTTATCTCGTACATGTTTGACAAACTAAATAAATAAATCAATGTCCCGAGTTGGTCCTTCTGAGGCAACTGCATGCCGTATGAGGCATTCTCCCCCAGATTGCACGTGGAGGTTTCCCGGTGAAACCTAGGGAAGATGGCCTTGTGCCAGGCAGGACATGCTTCATCAAACTGGGGTGGCCGAGGTTTCCCTGGGAAGTTATGGGTTTGCGTTGGGCCCAGCTGGCCTGGGCCTTGCACTATGCAGCATCCCATATACTTGTAGCCCAGTGGCGGGTTTCAAAAAAATTTCGAACCTACCCTGTGGGTGTGGCCTCCTTTGTGTGGGGTGGCTTGCCGGCCATGTGTTTTCTCTCTCTCTCTCTCCCTTTCCTTCCTTTTGTCCCTCTGTCCCTTTTTCTTTTTTTTTTCTTTCATCTCTCTCTCACTTTTTCTTTCTTTTTTCTTTTTTATTTCTTTCTTTCTTCCTTTCTTTCTCTTTTTCTCTGTGTGAATCTGTCTGTCTGTCTCTGTGTGTGTGTGTGTTTGTATGTGTGTGTGTGTGTCAGTGGTGGTTTCAAAAGTTTTTGGAACCTCTTCTGTAGGTGTGGCCTGCTTTCCGGGTCCACTGGTTCACTGGTGGAATCTCTTGGTAGAACCGAACCGGTTCTTTGCAGGCCTCCCAAACCCTCTGCACATCCATTTTTGCGAAAAAAACAGGATGTGCGGGCGCGGGGTTTTGGGAGGCCAAAAATGCTGTATTCAGTATATAAGACGCACTCAGATTTTCACCCTCTTTTTTTGGGGGGGGGGAAGGTGCGTCTTATACTCCGAAAAATAGACTACTTACTGACTCGCAAGAGATGGTGCAAGCCAACCCAAAAGGCAGAAATGGTGGGAAATAGGCAATGAGGGTAGTTGGAGGCAATGGTTCACCGACAAATGTGCGATAGACATATGCGCGCCGACAAAACCCCGACAGACAAATGAGCGCCGTCAAAATCACTAATTGATTTTTGACAATAGCGCAACGACAAATACGTGACGACAAATGCGCGACGACATTTAAATGGTGTGCGGTTACATTGAACTAATTTGCTAATCAAACAGTAACAATAATTTTTTCGATTTTATTTAACCCTAACCCTAACAGTAATTTTTTTCGATTTTATTGTGCTTGTCATTGCGATTTTGACATCGCGAATTTGTCAGCGCGATTTTGACGTCGCGTTTTAATCGGTGCTATTTTGTCGGCGCGCATATGTCTATCGCGCAACTGTCGGGTCACGGGAGGCAATGCCTTATCTTATATACTGGGATATAGAGTCTTAACATAGAGTCTTTTTTGTTCTTGCCAAATAGAAAGAAGCAAACCTCCACTGGCCTCAAAGGACAGTAGGATTATTCCTGTTTACCAAATTGTGATTTAATAAAATCTAAGTTGGGGCAAGCAGGTAGAATTGAACCTCTTATCGAATTATGGGAGTATTTTAAGAAGAACCTCAAATTTAATGTGTCAGTTACAATCTGTCAATCTGCAACAGAGCTAGAAAAATCCACTAATTATATTTATATTTCATCGCCTGCTTTCCTACACTTTTAGTAACGTTTGCAAGAGCCGAGGTGGCGCAGTGGTTAAATGCAGCACTGCAGGCTACTTCAGCTGTCTGCAGTTCGGCTGTTCAAATCTCACCGGCTCAGGGTTGACTCAGCCTTCCATCCTTCCGAGGTGGGTAAAATGAGGTGCTATTTTGTCGGCGCGCATATGTCTATCGCGCAATTGTCGGGTCACGGGAGGCAATGCCTTGTCTTATATACTGGGACCAAACCTAGAATAGCTTGGATTGGGGTCTGTCCTCCGCTAACAACCAATGGAATTCAGTTAACAATGACAATAGGGCAAGCTGGGATGGCTGATGCTAAGCAGTGCAGTCACACGATGTCACATTTTTACAACCGCATTGTTTAGCAATGAAAAATTTTGGTCCTACTTGTGTTAGTAGGTTGAGGACCTTGTCTTGTGTGTAGGTCTGGTAATCCTGATAGTATTCAATAGATGTAATTCTGTTTTGCTTCTGAACTTAGATAAGACCAGGAAGGTGCTGACCAGGAAGTAGCAAAGAAATATATTCAAGGAGAATTCCCAGGGCAAGATTTATTTTTCATGGTTGTTATTAATATAGAGTCTTTTTTGTTCTTGCCAAATAGAAAGAAGCAAACCTCCACTGGCCTCAAAGGGCAGTAGGATTATTCCTGTTCACCA